TGGCATTGAGCACTCGACTCAGCGCTGTCTCTCCCACAGCAAGTGTTGCAGCTTTCTTGCTTTTACCTAGGGGTTTGACCTCGAGATCGCCAGTCTCCACCCTATGCCTGTCGATCTCTGACAACGCTGGGTAAACATCGATACCCTGCCTAATCTCCTCACCACGCATGAGAAAGACATTGAGCGCACCTGCTGTAGCGACAGCTGCGAATGGTACCAAACGCCCCGCGATAAGTTTTGCATTTGGCGATAGGCTCTTGAGGCGGGGTACTAGCGCGTTTAGGCCAACGGCAACACCACAAGACGCGCTGACAGCAAGAAGGTATGATTTGATAATGGTCGAGGTCGAGAGAGGAATCGACTTGTTCGCGTTGGAGAAGTTGATTCCAACATTGACCGACTGGTTCGTCACCTGCCACCCGAGTGTTCCGGCCGTCTGTTTCTGTTCAGCATATTGCCTACCCAACACAATGCAGAGTTGCATACCCCAAGGCCTGGCGTGAGCATGCCAGCCGTGACAACCAAGTTTGTCAATACGAAGCAGGACATGCGAAAGGGCAGGAAGACTGGCTTTCCCGTGTCTTGGAATCCGTCAGCGTCTCCCCCTCATTGTGCACCTTCCCCGAGCAAAGTACCTGGGTGAATTGTTGAATCAATTATCTTCTTTGCGTTCCAGAGCTCCGGTGTCATTTCTGCCATCTTGCCCGTCTTGTAGGCGGTGACGAGTTTCTTCGCATTTTCGAGACCAGCGGCGGATGTGAGTAACGTCCTGCGTCATGCATGGTCAACCCAGGCTTTGCCAGAGAAACGGTGCATGCTGGGAACAACAAAGGTGCGGTCGTGAAACTAAAGGTAGTGGTACTCACTACACCCAAGTTGCGCAGGCAAATCTGTTCGGTGCGCAATGACTCTCACCTCGGGTCTGAAATATTGGCAGAGTGCCGCACGCGACCCCAGTATGTGCTGAGGTCGAATTGCGACACAGGCAGGTCGCGGTTGCCAGGCAAAGAAGATGTCATGTTGGCGAGTACACGACGCCTCAGATCGCAATGGGAGCGAGCAAAGTTCCAAAAAAATACGTGAACTGGGTCGGAGAGATGTAATCGTGCGGCTAAGTAAAGACGCAACGATATCGGCAGCGATACGCGCGGGAACTAGCCACAAACGTCATGACTGCATTTTTTGGCGCGACTTCAGGTCGACTACGAAAACCGCCCCTCCCGTAAAGCAATGTTTGTCTAAAATGATATAAAGCCCGAATGCATATAAATGCGACAACGCAACAAATATTACAAAAGCCCGCCTATGCTATTCCATGATGCATTTATCAAACATTACACGGTATCAACGAACAGCTTGAAAAAAAAATCAAAATCAAAAACTTTACATGCTACGTTCCGTTGCCACGGCGGTCTCTCTTTCCGTCGTCTGCTCATTTCTTCTTCTTCTTCTTGGACTGGGGGCTCGAAGGAGAAGTTCCCAATATGTCGTCAAATGTCTTACTCGGGTCACTGCTTGATTCGGGTCTTCGCGAAGGTGAACCGGCCGACATGGGCGGGGCAACACCTGGAGGTAACGGTAGCGCCTCGAGCCCCAGATTCATGACGCTCTCACGGCGTCTGTCGGGACTCTGAGACCGGTCACGGATGCTAGTCCCCGAAGGATCGAGCAGTCCAGGAGGCGGCAGGAGCGAAGCATGCCCGTTCAATTCTTGCATGGCGGCATTCAACAGCGTGTCGTCAGCCGCCCAGAGTTGCGCCTTCTTCCAACAGTGGGACCGCCGGAATACACCTTCGACTCCGTGTTCGACAATGTCCGCGGGTAAGCTAACCACCTGTGCGCCTCCTGCAACGCCGAACCACGTCCGTGTCCGTAATGTATCCTCACGGGCCCATGGCACACCGCTTCGGGGTACTTCACACAGAAAGTACTCGACGCCTTCGGTGAATCTGACACCGGGAGCATCAACCACTAACATGGGCAACGATTGTATAACGGCGTAGAGGAACAGCCACTGTCCTGTCCGTAGATCCCAAAGATCATCCAATGAAGAGCCCGCAGCATGCTTGGATTCAAACACACGGAATGCATCCAGAAATGGCGTCTGCTGTTCAGAATCGGCGTTGTGCGATTCTTTTAGCAGCTTGGCAACTTCGTCTTTGTGTATCTTCTTTCCTCGCGCTTTTGCATCCTGCTTTGTATTTCCAGTCATGGCGTTTGGCAATGTGGGATATAGCGGTAGATCGAAGGGTATAGGTGGCTGCACAGGCGGAGTACTGCGGTCGTACTCGCTCAAAACTTTCCTAAGTGTACGTGAGACGACCGATTTAATATCCGTGCCCTCATCCTCAGCAATGAAGCCGTCGGCCGTGCGATTCGTCAGATTCTTCCTGTCTACGAGAAGATCGTAGAGGCTAGACATATCGCGATATATTTCCAACAGCACCAGCCGGTTGAGACCACTTGTTGTAAGATCGTTTTTCTTCGACTTGGCCTTGGGCAGCCATGAGCCATATTTGTGTCTGTAATAATCGAGAATGAATGACCGGGTCGTGTTGAAAGCAGCTCTCCACTTCTTGAAGCTTATGACCTTGCCCTCGGAGGCCATGGCACTGTTCATGATTCCAGAGAAGATGGCTGGGAATTCAAAGTCTTTGAGTTTTCCGTTAATGGTGGCTTCTCGGTTATCGAGATCCATAGCAGCCCGTTGGAGTCGTGTCGCCGTCTTGGCGCTGATCATGGCGAATTTTGGAGAGTTGTATTCTTTGATGCTGTCGTATTTCCCAGCAGCATGCACGAAGCCTTCAGTGAAGAGTCCCATGGAACGCAGCTTTTCGCCAAGAACAATGGCTTCAATGGTTTTCTCGCGGCTGTGTCGCACATCGGCCAGCGCCAACTCGTCAACATAGCAGTCAAAGCTCGAAGCAGCGACTTCACCAAAGGTAGAACCGTCGACGTTGGAGAAGGCATAGTGGGACAATATGTCTCCTATTCGCAGGAAAATGTCAAAAATGTCCGAGTGGCGTTCAGTTGCAACTAGCGATTGACCGATGAGAAAAGCGAAGAAATTACGGTAGGTGACCAAGGTATCAGTGTCCTGGGTGTTGAGCTGGGGCTCGTGCGGCGTGATGGCGGAGTCTGAACTCAGTGAGATGGGCATGTACAGATGCTTTTCTGAGTAGTCATCTTCGACAGCATCGCTGAGCGCTCTTGAGCCTTTGGACTCATCGGAACTTCCTATTTGGCTCTGCTCGGGGGATGCAGCCCTGGAGTGGTCGGGATAGGGTTCGCCAGAGACGCGGCGTGACGTCCGCTCGGCTAGCTCGAGAGGAGGAACGGCGCTAACGTCACTGTAGAGGCTGCCGTGCACAAGGCGTGTGAGCAACTGCGAAGCTGCATAGACAGAAGAGTCGATACGGAAGGAAGCGCCTTTTTCAGAAGTCCGGGGAAAGAGGTAGACAAAGGTATCTCCTGTTTCATCCCACAACTCGGGCACCTGTTGTTAATGTCAGCGCACTCGACACCGCTGCAATAGCCAGCACCAACGGCCTACCTTTTCGCCGTCCAGCAACGCCTTCAGATCATATGGCACCTTGCCCTTGTGTCCGACAATCCATGCTGGCGGATTGCCATTGGCAGCATTCCCTGACCCGGCCGGGTCGGCTCCGTTGGCCGGGCCGCCTCCAAACAGGATGCTTTTTCTGCGCAGTTTTTTCAGCCGGCCCTCAGAATTTGGGTCTAAGCCCGGGGTCGAGGGGCGGCTATTGGACGGGGTGGATGGATGCGAGGAGACGTCGAGCAATGGCGGCGGCTCAAGGGGCTCGAGATCGGCGGGGACGACGGGGTGGAGACTGGGGTTTGCGAGGGAAGCCGGGTTGGGCGACTTGGGCGACTTGGGGGCGGCGGGTTGCGGGGGTTCTGGGGCGAGGAGGTTGACAGAGGAGATGCGGTTGCGAACTTTGGAGAAGCGGCTGCTCGGTTCTGACGAGGGAGCCGGGCTGCTCTTGATAGATGCGGCCGACGACTCGGAGGATGAACCGACAGAGAAGAGGCTCGACAGGCGGTTGGTCGCCTTCTTCTTTTCACCCAACATGGTGACGGCAGGTGCGAGTGGTACGGGGAATACGTGGCACAGAGAGCCGTGGAGAGGTGTAGGAGGCGGAGCGGTCGAGGATGGAGGATGTGCTATGTGTCGAGCAGCATGGGGCCAGTGAGGACACAGTGAGCAGCAGCAGCAACACAAGTCTCTATGCAGGCAGGGCGCCCGGCTGATGGCTGAGGTTTATAACGCACCGTAGGCCCAAAGCTTTGTGAAAAAGACTAGGTGATCTATATTTGATCTGTCGCAGGTGCGGCAGTGTCACGACCACGCTCGTGCGTGCACCGGCAGCGTCCCGGGGCCAGTGGCCAACAACGTGGGTCATGCAGTGCCGACTCCCATTGGCCTCGAGTCCTCAGCTGTCACGATGCCTCGCTCTAAGTCAGTACAGTGTGCGGGTGCGATGGCACCCCAGTCCCCCACTGGACAAGCCCCCTTTGCGCCCTGTCTAGGACCCTTTTGCGCGTGCTGGTTGAAGGCCCTGTGCCTCGTATTGCGGCCAAAGGGCCCGCCTCGTCTCCCGACAGGCCCATGCCCATTCGCATTGTGCCACTGCCACTGCCACTGCTGCCGTTTCGCCCTCTCTCTCCGCCTGTCCACGGGGAGCAGCTCTCTCCAGCGGCCCACGACGGCGCCTCTGCTGCCAGTACAATGACAGCACGGCGCCCGGCTGCTGATGCTTGGGCGCAACACACCAGCGCCTGGGAGGACGTCGGCAGGGAAATTTTAGCGATGCGGATGACGTACCACTGCCCGTATCGATAGTGTGCATCATGAGCGTGTCACACATGCACACACGCACCTTAAGCCGCATCCCCCATGTCAGGCCTGTGTACTCTACGAACGTGGTTTGGGTCAGCATCCATGTGCCGCACATACCACAGACACGCCCAAGACAATTGATTCCTTCTTCGCGCCCTCCTCTGACACTCCTCTTGTCGGCCACTGCAGACCACGTTGCCCCGCCCAGGAACAGAGTCGTCCCATACCTGCACGCTAGCCCCTTCGGTCCCTGCTTCTACACCCCCGGCGCCTTACTCACCATCGCTCAATCCGGCGCCATCAGCACTCGATACTCGTTCCAACATGGGTGGTGGCGAAACAATTGCAGATCAGATCCTCGAGACCTTTGTGCTCCCTGACGTGGCCCCGTCCAAAACTAGCTCCAAAAAGCTCATCAATCTTTTGCGAGGGCACGTCCATCTCTGCGCCCGCATCTTTGTCTTCACTTTCGGACAAGACGCGGCCCAATAAAGACCCTTTGCCCCCGAGTCATTTGCTAACGGTACCAGATGGCCTAATCTGTCTTTGCTCCCTACTCAATTGCTCGACAGAGCATCCCACAATGTGCTCCAGCACAAGCCCACTGCCTACCCAGCTCTGTGCTATGGCCCAGATGCCGGTGACCCACGACTGCGCGATAACGTTGCGCAATGGCTGACTGCCTTCTACAAGCCTCCCGACCCAGTGTCTACAGAGCGAATATGCATTTCTGGAGGTGCTTCGCAGAACTTGGCCTGTTTACTCCAAGACTTCACAGACCCCTTGTATACGAGAAACATATGGATCGTGGCACCGGCGTACATGCTAGCTTTTCGCATCTTTGAAGATGCTGGCTTCCACAACCGGCTTCGGGCCGTTCCTGAAGATGACGAGGGCATCGACATGGACTATTTGAGAAGTGAGATTAAAAAAAGTGAAGACAGCGCAATTGCAGAGAACAACAATGAGCCGGTTCGTGTGTTTTCTTCCCCTTGTCTTGGAATATGGTCTGCTTGCAACCTCTCTCTCTCTCCCCCTCTCCCCTCTAACCCCATGCCCAATGCTGTCTTCGAGCCTATGTCATCTCACAGGCTGAATTTCTTTTGCCCATATCCACTGACAACATCAACAGCTTCTGAAGCCTCCGCGCCCATTTAACAAAATATACAAACACATCATCTACGCTGTGCCAGGCTTCTCGAATCCTAGCTCCAAAACAATGAGCCTGCGGAGAAGAGAAGAACTTGTGCATTTGGCGAGAGAGTATGATGCTCTTATCATCACAGACGACGTATATGACTTTCTGCAATGGCCATCCAGTCTCACCCCTAGCACTCTTTCAATCGAAAACGCCAGTTTGCCTCGCATCGTAGATGTGGACCGATACCTCAGTGGCGGCGCCGAAAGACAAGGTGCAGATGGGTTTGGCAATGCCGTTTCCAATGGCTCCTTCTCCAAGATTTGTGGTCCAGGCCTCCGCACGGGTTGGTGCGAGGGCACTCCAAAACTAGCCTACGCCGTTTCACAAACGTAAGCCTGCCTTTTCGGAAATTTCATTCAATCATGCCTACTTGTTTTTGTCCTGGGGTGTTTTTTTAAGTGGACTTTCTCTGTGTAAATCAAGACGTATGTAATCATACCCGGATTATTCTGCATAATGACAGGCCAGTACTGGTGAATCCGTGTCTCGCTAGATAAGTTAGTAATGGCTAACATTGTTGTAGAGGATCGAGCCGCTCAGGTGGATCACCCAGTCAGCTGACAGCTTGTTGTGTGGCCGAGACGTTGGAGACTGGCGAACTACAGCGCTACGTGTACGATACGCTTCAACCCGCGTATGGTGATCGGTACAGGCATATGATGGAAGCCATCAAGAAATACCTGCTTCCCCTTGGTGTTCGTGTCCCGCAGACTGATCGTGAGGTGGCGGGTGGATACTTCATCTGGCTCACACTGCCTCCGCCACTGAAGGGCGCCGAGGTAGCACAACGCGCAAAGGAGGATGACAACCTAGCTGTTGCACAAGTAAGCATAAGCCATCATAATATTTCTGGTCCACAACATGTGCATGGCTAATGATGATGATTGCACAGGGCGAAATGTTCGAAGTGAGTCGTCTTCTCCGCTGTTCTGTCCTCGCGCTAATTGATACAGGTCCCTGGTGACACTAAATGCAAAGGCACATCTTTCAGCAACGACCTCAGAGTCTGCTTTGCGGTACGAGTCGATAGCTGCAATTTGGGGTTTGGGCTAACTTGTTGGCAGTGGGAAGAAGTAAATATGCTTGCAGAAGGCATCCAACGACTTGCCGATGTAATTAGTCGTATGTTGAGCGAGGAGGCTAACAGCGGACATAGCACCAAGCGGCCCGCTAGCCAAGAAGAGGACGCAAAGGCCTTGTGGTGAACGATTGGTATATCCTGTTTGAGTAGTGTAAGAGACTTGCCGAACTGGAGATGTGTTTGTTGAAGCCATTGGTAGGCTCATAAATGGCCCTGGATCTTGTCTGCACGGTGACATGTACACGCGATCCAGACTCGCTTGTTTGGCTTTGAATAATTGTCGCCTGGCGAAGCAGAGTACAATATACCGAAGGCGATATAATAAGATGTATATCAAGGTTCTGCTAAGCTCATGGGATTTACACAGGCGTCGGGTGATATGTACTTAGCTGGCTAAACAAGCGTTTCATGCAACCAATACCCACGACCCACCGGCTCCACTTTGGTTGAAATGAAAAAGCAGCATGCCCGGTGGCAGCACGAAACAAAGAGGCCGTTTCGTGTGAGCCTCAGGCGGCGATTGGCATGCCACGGGATGCAATAATCTGCGTACCTGCATCATGTGGTGTTTTCGTGGGGCATGGCGCAAAGCCGCGACGGAGAGTGTTTCTTTGATCTTTGTTTTGCACCTGCAAGGCTCATCCAACGTCGTGCACAGCGTTCATCACCGACAAGACCAGTCTCTTCCATGTCCAGTTCACTATGTGGGGGTATATGCACAAGCAGCAGCAGCAGCAGCAGCAGCAATAGCAGCCTCGCGGTCTGGTGAATTACTGCCCAGGCCCATGACTCTTGCTGCGGGCCCTTGATGTGGATGGGCGATTAGCAACACATCGGTACATCCACATGGGATTGTTCCCGGAGCGTAGCGTCAAATGGCGTCTTCTCTGCATGCGGCGTTGAAGCGCTGGCATAAGGCTTCATCTCCAAAAACGGCCAACGAGGGCCTGTCGATGGCCTGGCGTTTCAGTGCCGTCGCACCTCCGCCCGTCGGGAGTGGCGCTGCCAACCACATCCCTGTCTTCGATCCAGGGACAAACGCTCGCCTTCCACCCTTAGAACATCCTCCACCACTCACTGGCCTACAACGCCCGCTTGTTTCACGCGGAGAGAGCCATCTACGGGAATACTGCCGTCCTCTTGATTAGTGCACACCCTAAGTAATTTTGGATCTACGCCACCGGGACTGGGCTGCGTTCAGGCTACGCGTTCCGAGGACAGCTCTAGGAGGCGGCCATGCGGCTTACGGATGCGGCCACAAGGCCTCATCATGGAACACCAGAAAGCCATGAGCTTTTGTACGAGCGCGATGGCGCGCAGAGGTATGATGAAGAGGCGGCTATCAAAGACAGCTGTCGTGGCAGCGTCCAAGAACGTACAACACATCTATTCAGGGCTGGGGAAAATGATGCGAGACCAGGACAGCGAACACCACACGCCCCTCTTTCCAAACGTGAAACAAGTCGTCTCCAGAAACGCGATTGGCCACACGAATCCTTTGTAAGTCCCCTCGCGAACACATTGCGTACTTATACAAGGCTGCAGTGCCCCCTCCCGGAGCCTCTCCCCTTCACGCAGGTTCGCTGTTACGCCCTTTCAGCACTCATTGTGTTGCTTCACTTCTTGTTGTTCACAGTCATTCTTTACTGTTGCTGAGAGCCTTTTCTTATTCACGCTCACAATAACATTCCCAACTACCTTCATCCACATTCGTTGCTAGCCAACCTTTTACTTTGACACAATCACTTGCGCATTTGTGCACTTTCCCACTCGATACAACAAAAACAACAAATCGTCTTTTGCAGGTCAACTGACGACCATTCTTCCAGTCCTTTGGATCATTCCTCCCACACTTTACAACACCGAAACTCACACTACGCACTGTCATCATGGTGGCTTTCGGCGCTGGAGCGTTTCTCCTGACGCTGCGCGTTCTCCTTTCCGCAACTCCATCTTCTGCCGTCCCTGTTGCTCAAGCACCAGCTGCCCCAGCACCAGCAGCGCCGGCTGGTGGCTCTGGTTTCTGGATGCAGAGTATCAAGCGTCAAGGCCAGGCTGCTTTCAACCCCAACCCACAATCCTACCAAGTCTTCCGTAACGTCAAGGAGCTGGGAGCCAAGGGCGATGGCGTTACTGACGATACTGACATCATTAACAAGATTATCGCTGACGGTGACCGTTGTGGTGAGGGCTGCGACTCCACAACCACTACCCCCGCTCTCATCTACTTCCCTGCCGGTACCTACATCATCAGCAAACCCATCATTCAATACTACTACACCCAGTTCATTGGTGACCCATTGAACATGCCTGTCTTGAAGGCCACTGCCGACTTCGAAGGTATGGGCTTGATCGATGCCGACCCCTATATCCCTGGTGGCGATGGAGCCAACTGGTACACCAACCAGAACAACTTCTACCGTCAGGTCCGCAACTTTATTATCGACATATCTGCCACAAAGGTCGCTGCTGGTATCCACTGGCAAGTCTCCCAAGCCACTAGTCTGCAAAACATTGTTTTCGAGATGGCCAAGGGCGACGCTGGCAAGGACCAGAAGGGTATCTTCCAGGACAACGGCTCTGGTGGTTTCATGACCGACCTGACCTTCAACGGTGGTGCTATTGGTGCTTTCATGGGTTCCCAGCAATTCACCATCCGCAACATGACTTTCAATGACTGCGGTACCGCCATCTTCCAAAACTGGAACTGGGTCTTTACCTACAAGAGCATCTTCATCAACAACTGCAAGGTCGGTCTCGACATGGCCAACAGCCCTTCTAACCAGACCGTTGGTTCTGTTCTCTTGCTTGACAGCAAGCTCACCAATACTCCAATTGGCATCAACTCCTCTTTCACTGCGAACAGCATCCCTACCACTGGCGGTACTCTCATCCTGGACAATGTTGACTTCAGTGGATCCGAGAAGGCTATTGTCGGTGCTGCCGGCAACACCATCCTTGAAGGTGGCCGCAAGATCGATGCCTGGGCTCAAGGTAACGCCCTTGCTGCTGGATCCACCCAGGGCCGTGTTCAAGGCGATATCAGTGGTGCACCTGCAAAGCCTAAGAGCCTTCAGGGCGAGAATGGTTGGTTCGAGCGCAGCAGGCCCCAGTATGAGAATGTGGATGTCTCCAAGTTTGTCAGCCTCAAGTCTAAGGGTGCCAAGGGTGACGGTGCGACTGATGATACTGCCGCTCTCCAGTCTGCTATTGATGGCCTTCAGGAAGGCGAGATCCTCCATGTCGACCACGGTACCTACCTCATCACCAAGACCGTTACCATTCCCGCTGAGAAGAATGTTAAGATTGTTGGCGAAGTCTACAGCACCCTTCTCATCACCGGCGAGTTCTTCTCTAACATGAACGATCCCCAGCCTGGTTTCAAGATTGGCGCCAACAGCGGCGACAAGGGCACTTTTGAGGCTTCTGATCTCATCATCGGTACCCAGGGTCCCGCTCCCGGTGGTATCTTGATGGAGTGGAACATCAACGCGGAGAATGGTGCAGCCGGTCTCTGGGACGTTCACTTTCGTGTCGGTGGCTACGCTGGTACCAAGCTCCAGTCCTCCAACTGCAAGAAGAACCCCGATACCGAACATCAGCCCAACCCAGAGTGCATCGGTACCTTCATGCAGCTGCACATCACCAAGAACTCGAACGGCTACTTCGAAAACGTCTGGCTCTGGACTGCCGACCACGAGCTCGACCAAGATGACCACGCTCAGATTGACATCTACAACGGTCGTGGTATGCTTGTTGAATCTCAAGGTCCAGTCTGGATGTACGGAACCGCCTCTGAGCACTCTCAAATGTCGCAGTACCAGTTCTCTGGCGCAAAAGACATCTTCTATGGCGCTATTCAAACCGAGACTCCCTACTACCAGCCAAACCCCACTGCTGACGTTCCTTTCACCAAGAACGATAAGTTCTTTGATCCGGATATGAGCCAAGCCAAGGCTGCATGGGCCGTTCGCGTCACTGACGGTAGCGAGAGCATCTGGAGCTACGGCGCGGGTACCTACTCGTTCTTCCAAAACTACGCACAGGATTGTGTTGTTAGCCAGAATTGCCAAGAAAACATTAACGAAGTTGTCAACTCAACCAATGTCAACTGGTTTGGTCTTTCGACAAAGGCCTCGGTCAACATGATCACCTCGGGTGGCAAGGGTCTAGCTAAGGATGAGGACAACCGCTCCAACTTCTGCGCTACACTGGCTATCTTTGCGCAAGCATGAAGTGTTGTTCGTATATGACATGATGACTGGACCCATTTTACTTTCTTGCCCACCGACTTTTGGAGGGACCTCTTTTTCTTCTTCTTCTTCTTCTTCTTTTTTGTGTGTACAGCGTATCAACAAATACATATGCCCTTTTGTCTTTTGTGTCTTCCTCGTATTTTACAGGAAGCACTTCACACTCGCTTTGGGAGGAAACTGCTTCAATCGATATACATATATACCCCAGGGCATGCAACAGTGGACGAAAGGGACTTGATGAAGGAATATGGGAGTTTAGGGCTGGCTCCTATGTATATTTTTTTTCTTTTATGTTTGAACCAAGGTAGACGAAAATCACAACGTTTTTCATCCCGATTTTTAATTACTTTTTCGTGTGTGATGCGTGAGTGACAATTGGGCGAGTACGGTTGCTGCCTCAAATTTAATCGCAGACGTGCTTGACGAGAAGTGAGACGAAGGTGTGGGAAATGAAGACGGGGCAACCGTCTGTTAGAAGGCGGTCGCATTAGCAGGAAACATTTCATCGCGATGAACACGTCCCTGCTGATCCAATGCAAGGTGGCATTGTGCTTGGAGAATTGGAGAAACGGCCAAGGCACTTAACAAAAGTGGGTGGGTCACGGAGGTGTGCGGGGAGAAAGGTCGGAGCTCGGTCTCAACGCCAAAAAGTTCCTGGGCGGGCTTTTTTGGTTTTACGCGACAAAGCCTCCATGTCACTCTACTACGAGGCTGCGGCCATTCTCGCCAATTCCGACAATGTTGGCGGGTCGCTCAAGTCGCGCATATACAACAAAAAAGATTTGAAGAGCACGCCCGGGCAGCTCTTTGCGCTGATTGCAGAAACATCGAAATGGTCGCTCGTATTGAAGGATGTGATTGAGAAATGCAAGTTACTCGCGGAAGAGAAAAAGGTCCATATCTCAAATACTTCATTCTGAGAAAGATAGCTTACGTCTCCCAGCTTACTCCAATTCTCGCTCTTCTGCTTTCACATGATTTGCTCCTCGCGAAGAATGGCGTTGCAGCACCCGCCAACCATGTACTTAAGCTCGCCATTACCCGACACAAAGCCCGCTTGAGCGCCGAGCTCACGAAAGCCCGTATACGCCATGGATTTTCTACTCTTGAAGCGTTTAAAGAGGCTGTGAATGATGGTGGACTGGATAAAGAAGACGGCAATGCTTCGAAGAGCAGACATCCCCGCTGGGTGCGCGTCAACACTATTAAGACGACATTAAAGGAACAGCTTGCAACGACTTTTGCTGGATATACCAAGACAGGAGTCCTAGAGGACGTCCTCACTGCGCCAAAGAGCTCCAAAGTCTACTACGAAGACCCAAACATCCCTAATTTGCTTGCGCTGCCATCTAAGGTTGATCTCAGTAGGTCCATTGCCTACACAAAGGGTCAGATAATATTCCAGGATAAAGCATCTTGCTTCCCTGCATACTTGCTGGATCCGACCCCAGATGATGGTGATGTCATCGATGCGACCGCAGCACCAGGAAACAAAACCACACATCTTGCCGCCATTGTTTCTGATAGAAGACAGCCAGGCGAGGAACAAAAGGTCATTGCTTTTGAGCGCGACAAAGGCAGAACTTTTACCTTGCAGAAGATGGTCAAGTTGGCGTCGGCAGATAGCATTGTCCAAGTAAAGGGTAATAGCGACTTCATAGCCGCTAAACCTGCGTCGGACGAGTACGCCAACGTTGGAGCCATACTTCTTGATCCAAGCTGCTCAGGTACTGGTATTGTTGGGCGTGATGATGCGATCAAAATGCATCTTCCTGATACACCTGGCTCCCAAACGATATCACAAAAGCCAGAAAGGGGGAAAAAGCGAAAGAGAGGTGATGAGGCAACGAAGGGCGACGCGCAGCCGACACTGAACTTGGACATGGATGATTCGACGCCTGAAGAGACACCAGTACAGGGCAAACTGACAGAACGACTGGCCGCCTTGTCCAGCTTCCAACTTCATATTCTCACTCACGCCATGCGGTTCGAGAGTGCGCACAAAATTACTTACTCTACATGCTCGATACATTTCGAAGAGAACGAAGGCGTCGTTTTTCAGGCGTTGGCATCCTCGGTTGCAAAGGAGCGGGGGTGGAGGATACTCAAACGGGATCAGCAAGCGGAGGGATTGCAAAAATGGCACAGAAGAGGTATCTGGGAAGAGGATAAGATTCACGGTGACCTGGACGAGTCATTCAAGAAAGATGTATTGGAAGCATGTATTCGCTGTGACAAGGATACTGAAGAAGGTACTATGGGCTTCTTTGTGGCTGCCTTTGTTCGTGAAGGCGATCAGCAGCCGGCACAAGGAACTGAAGTTGCGGTTTCCGAGGACGAGGAATGGGGTGGCTTCAGTGATCACGGTGAAGTTGAGGAAACAGTAGCACCAGTGATTGAAGAGTCTGAAAGCCGTAAGAAGAAAAAGCGAAAACACGGAAAGAAGTGAGGTGAATGGGAAAAGGAAACAGCCAGCCAGTGTGCACCATGGGTGGAAAGCGCAATACCATCTCCCTCAGATGGGCAGGAGCCTTGGCCCTAGCGCGAAAACCTCTAGCAACAGCTACCACTCTTGTCAATTCAGTCAACCTCAGCCTTGCATTATCCGCGTCGCGTATCCTTTGATTTTGTTGTCAATCACGTTGGTGCTGACGATATGGCACCTGACCGCGCATCAAATGTGTCGGTTCCACTCACTGTGTCTTCTCACCACACCTCCGCATCTCCCAGCAACTCTGAACTCTCCCGACCTAGACTCAAGGAAGTCACGAAATGGATTCGCGATGAGTTGGACTTACGTGTGGCTCGGGACGGCCCTGATGTGCTTCAACCCGACGACATCATAACCCTCCACGAGATCTTTCTTGCTCTCCAAAACGCCAAACATATCACCTTATCCGACTTGCGAGCGAGTGGCATTCACAGAGCAGTGAAGGACATTGCTGGAGTGGCGACTCGCTGGCCTGGTCGGTTGTGTGATGACTGCGACACGATCATCGATATCTGGACCGCCAAGTTTGGTTCTTTGAATGCAATTCACCCATTCTTGTACGGCAGAGGGGGCCGGCTTGAGGGAATTGCCAGCGTGCACGAGCAATCTCGCGATGTGAGCAGCTATCACTACAGCTTTGTGCCTGGACTAATCTCAGCGAACAGGCGTTACTCAAGCGGTGGGCCAAGACATGTCCCCAAAATATCCACCCCAAGCGATCTCATAGACTAGGCGACCTAGGCTTTGTCGCTGGAAGGTATTTTGAGCACATAGCCTGGGTCAGTTTGGAGCTGACAACCTCTGTAGCTGGTGGATCAATCCTTTGTTCGCACATCATGCCGGCATTATTGGCCTCGAGTCATGTGATGGTGGCACAACTTATGATAAATATGGTGCGTATGCCTTGTTGCTGAAAGATACTGGTGAACTCGAAGCCAGCTGCGAATCGCGCTTCACCTACCGGGTTCCGCAGAAGGACAAGGGCAAATTTCGACTTACTTCCGCTACTCCAAGAAGCAGAGATCCCGTGCGAGTACTTCGCAGCCATAGTATCAATAGCATATGGGGTCCAAAGGCTGGAGTAAGATATGAAGGTGTGTACAGCGTCAAAGGTTGGTCTATCAAGCAAGCAAAAAGTACAGACACATCCGGCGAGCAATGGAAAGAGGGCGACATTCTCTTCGACGTCAGATTCGAGCGTGCTGACCAGACGCCCATGGGTGTCGTTATCAATCGGCCTACTGCGACTGAAATCGACGATTATGCAGAATACAAGCGCCTTCGGAAGCTGAGCCAGCATGGCAAAGAAAAGGAAGCAAAAGCAGCACATGACAATCAAGATCATCATCCTACACCCAAGGCTGTGCACCCCATTATGCCTCCATATTCTCCGTACGCGGCACCGAAACCACTAGCGTTCGATCTTGCCCCAAGCGCACTACGTAAAGACATGGTTAAACGTCTTCATTTCGACGAAGAAGCACACGTTCATGTTACGGGAGACGATGAAGCACTCTCGCCAAAGACTGCTCCAGTCACAGACCCGTTGGACTTCGCCACAGTGGAAAAGAATAACACATTGGCTATTCCTTCTGGATCCAACCGACAAAACATTCACGCAAGAGCCGATCTGCCATCCAACGGTCCAGATGGGCGTTCAAGCCAGGCAGGTTCCAATGCAAGCAGCGCACACACGACGCAAACGACTCATACCGCTGCCAGCAATCTATCTAAAATCAACGTCCGAGAGGTGGCCCCATGGATTGACTTTGATGCTAACCTGACCATCCCTGAGCCGTCTGAAGAGCCGCTCATAATCCATCAACGGCCTATCATTGCTCAAACGAATACCACCCCAACAGGCTCACCTAAAGCTCACAACACCGGCTCGCCCAAACACCAATCTCGAGAGCATCTGTATAGTCCGATTCAAAGCACTCTTTCGTCTATTGTTACCGAGCGCTATTCTGATGATCGACAGGCGAGGAGGCATGAGGGTGACTTCAAGGGTATGCTTGGGGAAGTCCTTAGTCCTCAGCACACGGTGAAGAAAGAGAAGAGGAGTGAAGCTCCTCGCAAGAAGAACCTGATGACCAAATTATTTGATGGCATTCTCGATGACGACAACAGCAAAGTGGACGGATCATCATGGGAGACAAAAACCAGTTTCTTCAAAACTGACCCAGCCATACCAAGACACAAGTCAGCAGATTTCTCTACTTCTTGGAAGCAGATTTCGCAACCCTTTTCTCACGTCTTTCTCAACCCATGCAGCGCAGAGAGCCAGCTCAAGCTGCCTCGTAGTAACGATATCGGCTTTGTCAAAGGAACAGCTCACCTTCTTTCTTCTGATACGGCCTCGAATAACGTCAACACATCTATTTCTACCAGTGTTCCTAACGAGGAACCCTTCATCGAGAACCCGACTGTACGACGACAGAATGCAATGCCAATATCGATGAAGATTCTGACCTCACAACCTAGCTCTGCGACTACTGTTAGTAGTGCGATATGCACACCTATTTTGGGGCGCCCTAATTCTTCGCTGAAGCACACCGACGAGAGATCTCTGGCAGAGACTAATTTAAGGAAGATGATCGAGTAGCTGCGAAGTCTGGGAATACAGAAGGAGTTGTAATGCTCCGTTGTCGACTTGAAAGAGATTGGCAAATAGGATTGGCATGGCAGTAGCGTAGAAGGAGTACCAGAGGATGATGTGACACAGCCTCCATACCTACATATGTGTGAGGAAGTTCTCGCTTCGGTAGAAAAAACCCCTAGTATCAATCCTACTTTTCCTGCGCCTAACTACCAAAACACCAGTTACGTAGGCACAGCAGTGCACCATCCGCCTCTGACATCATACCCTTTTGTTCCTGTCTCCACTCACTCCCCATCTTTTAGTAACAGTACGCCTCTTCTGGGGCCTACATTCCGCTCTATCCGGCCCTAGACTATGCCACCCACGAGTACGCCCGACGAACGACCGAAAGGAGGAGAAACTCGAAGCCAGGGAAACGCGTTCATGACATACTACATTCAACGAACACCAAGGTACAGACAGGAGCCGTTGACGTAAATTGTAGTAGCATCTCTTCCAGAAACATTGTATATAGACACAATACATGCAAAATTTAGTACAATCGACTACGTGGGCGGCGGCTTCTTCGCGCCTCGCTTTCTCTCAGCTCTCTCATCGGGTACTTTCGCACCCGCATATCGCTCGGCCGTCTGTGCACAAGCCCAATTATTAACCGCAGAGCGCGCTCGCGCGGCTAAGTACGTATGCGGTCGCTGGTGCATATGCAATGGAAAACATCTGCAGGCCGCTTGGAAACGTCTACGTTTGAGGCTGAGCCATGCTTGTCGTGAACATTTGACACGGATCCCGGACGAAGGTTTCATAATCGGAAAAAAAACTCTTTCCCTGCACCTTTTTTTTCGGGGGAAAATGAGGAAAAAAGGTACGGTGGAATGGGGTTTGCTAATTGGTTAACAAATGCCTCTCTCTTATCTTTTCACACAGGAATCAAAGGGAAATCAACCCATGGGATGGTCCGTGTTCTGTGTGCGACCGTGCGCTCTTTTTTTCCTTGCTAGTACTATGACTCGCTGTGTGGATCGGATTTGTTGGGGCTGGCAATGTTGCAGTTGCGGTGCTACTCTCGGCGATATGGGGGCAACTTCTTTCACAATACTACTGGGTCAGAATCCTACGTACTGCATTGTCGCTAGTGGTAAGGAAAGGAGGCTGTGCAGTATGTACAGGAAATCGAGGGGGGGTATCAAGACTGCATTACTGGAAAAAAAATAACAATAACGTCCTGTACAATGAATGCGCTCAGTATCTCATTGCGAGGACGAGATTGGAAGACAACAACTCATGCAGTTCCGTCCTCTTTCACACTTCTTTGGCGTGATGCTATCATCGTACATACTAGAGCATCTCTCTTAGCGACTTGTCATACTGGCTCTCCTGGCCTCAAGAACAGCGTCCTCGTGCGTTGGGGGTCCCTCGTAGTTCTTCTTGCCCCAGACGAAATACCAGATGGTGGAGATGACGACGACGGCGGCAAGCACAACGGAAGCGTAGTTCATGGTTGCGGGGGTGACTTCGCGGAAAGTGGGCATGCAGAAGAGAGGAGTGGCAAGGGCGGACCAGGCTGTAGAGATTGTTAGTTTCCACTTGACTGTGGGCACATAGAGTAGAACATACCAAGAGCGACAACGTTGCAGAAGGTACCAAGCACTCCGAGGTGGAATTCTCCAGTCTTGACTTGCTTGCGGCCGGTAAGGAGCGAGACCAGGATAGGGGCTGCATAGCTCAATGTCAAGCAAATGACACCAACACCAGAGAAGGCATTGAAAGCGGCGGCGGCTCCGAAGTAGATAACACCAAGGATGATCTGAATTACCATGCTGAGCATCATAGCGTTGAGCGGGACATCAAGCTTGGTGTTGACAGTCCTCCACAGCTTGTAGCCTGGGATAGCGCCATCACGAGAGAAGGCCCAGGTAGCACGGGATGCAGCAGTCGTGCATCCAATACCGCAAATCAGTCCTAGGACAAGGAGTGGAACGAGTAGTCCAATAGTTCCACCAGAAGATCCTACTGCACTCTTGATGATGACTGGTACGGGCTGTCCAGAAGCCAAAGCTGCGAGGTCGGCCTGGTTGGGGAGGACGAACACGAGAGGGATGAGGAAGACAAGGCCGCAGATAGTGTTCAATGCAACGGTGGCGACCATGGCCTTGGGGACCTGGGTGGCTGGCTCTCTGACTTCTTCACACATCCTATGTCAACTGTTAGCATTTGACTTAGTTTGGGTGGGAATTACTGCATATGGACAGGGCGAATGTCGCAATGGTATATGGGCTGCAAAGGGGATGTCGCATAGGAAGTGTCGCTTGGGAAATGTCGCTTGGGAGTATGCATTGGGCAGGAACAAGCTGTTTGAAGTTGCTTGGGCAGGCAAGGGGAGGCTCACGAGACGATCATTCCGGTGGAGGAGGTTGCGTAGGCAGCGTGGAGGAGTCCGACCATGAAAGACCATCCGGGGACCCATCCAGAGTTAGAGGGATCGAATTCAGTAAAGACGTATTCGGCGCTTCGGCGACCATTCTTCGCAATGGCAAGGACGCAAATGACAATGGCAATCACACCGGCAAAGGTCCAGAAAATGGCAAAGGTCTGTTCGGGTGTAAGTGATGGATACAGCAAGGGAGTGAAGGGGGCAATCTCACATCGAGCCAGGGCAAGTACTTGTTGCCAAAGGCAGACACGCAGTTGCAGAGAAGGGTGATGCCAAGGAAGATGAGGAAAACTTGGTAGGGCTCGCCTGCCAGTATGCCAACACCTGGGGAGGATTCGTAGACATTGACGCATGCCACGACAAAGAGGGCGGTAGCAAAGTTGACCGAGAGAGTAATGGTAATGTTGCCGACTACGAAACACCAACCACATACCCACGAGGCGATTTTGCGGTAAGCGGGGGGCGTAATCATGAAGGTTTGGTAGTAGACACCACCACTGGTGGGGTAAACGCTGGTAATCTCGCCGAGGGAGGCGGCAACGGCGAGGATGATGAGGGATACGGCGAGCCAGCCCCAGATGATGTTGGTAGGGCCACCACCAACTACAGGATAGTAAAGGGTAGTTGCCAAACCGTAAGGGACGGAAGCCAGAACGAAGGACATGAAGGCGACTTGGGCTGTTGATCTTGATCGCACCAGTTCGGACTTGTAGCCCATGGCAGCGAGGAGACCATCTGGATCGCTGGGGCCAGCAACATCGTCTCCAGACCCCGAGTAGGTGTTGTCCAACTTGGAGTCCTTCTCGATACCATTGGGGCGCAGGGCATGGCCGTGGTCAGCGGCATAGGCATCCGACTGGGTGCCGTAGCGGTAGTCAGACATGGTGGGCGTGTCGCTATCGTCTGTGAAGAGGAAGCCTGGAGTCGGAATGGGCCTGGGAAGTTGTCGCAAAACAAATCTCTGTGGCATGTGCCAAACGGCGGATCAGCGCAGGCTTTGAAGGCCTGCAGAGGAACGTCGGTGGGCGCATGGTCCAGGGCGACTAGACAGTTTGGAGACAAGTCTGGTCAGGCTACCCACACGCATGTCGGATGGCAAAACTGTGCCGAGCTTGGGATCCAATTGCTGGCGGGACGGGTTCGGATAGGGCTCCCCAGAAGGTCTTGGAAAAACACCGAGCATGTGGAAAACAGGCCCTAATGCATCCACGCTCCGCGCTCCACTGCCTGGGTAATGAGAGGGTTTCTAGAAGTGGGCCAGAGGTGGCGCTGCTGGGAGCCGATGATGAGCCGGCCGTCTGACGACATGCTTCAAGGAGAGTCCCTGGCAATGGCAATGGCAATGCAACGCTGACCCAGGGCCAGCATGAAGGAGAGCCATGCGCTGATGAACGCGTGGGGAGTGAAGGAGGCATTTCGCAGCGCGCCGTGTTTGAATCGGGGGCCGAACCAATCGCATTTGTCCGAGTGTATCTCCCAAGAGAGCCATGGCAGCCGCCCGCTTCGGCTCACGCTCCAGATTCTGGCAGCGATCCGGGGCCACGGTCGCCCAAGCTACTCTACTTAGTAGGCTGGAGCTGCATGGGCTCGTATCCGTGGAGCGAGCAAGTGTATGAATAAGGGGGACAGGTAAGTAGAGGCTGATGCATTGATGGATGGTGACATTGGTTCTGCACGACTTGTTCAGCTGCCGAACGCGCCCTACAGTGTCAAATGCGGTAATGGCTATCGGTGGGGGACTGGGGCCATGGTGTGCATGTGTGGAGCAGCGCCCGGTATAAAGCGCAGATCGAGAGAAGGGGAGGCAGACCATACTGCGTACTGTACACATGCATACACAAATACATGATGCATCACGAGATTGTCGCTCTGGAGAAGCAGCACCAGCCCCTCCCCGTCGACGGCTTCGCTTTTGCTCCGGGCACTACCTACAATCTCACAGCCTACGAATCAACCTCGTCGCGTGACCAACTTCACGAACGCATCCGCAATGCCACCATTATTATTGTGACGACGCTTAGACTGGATGCCGAAACTTTGCACCCCACCATTACCCCCAATCTGCGCTACATAGCCGTCTCCGCAACAGGCACCGACCCAGTCGACCTCGATGCCTGTCGGTCACGCAACATTCGCGTAACAAACTGTCCGGGGGCTAATCTGGACGCCGTCTCAGAACACGCCATCAGCCTTTACTTCGCTGCCAGGAGGCGCACCGTATTGCTCGACCGCATAACACGAGCACAACCGAGCGAATGGAAGGACAAGGGTAGTGTCAACCACTACATGCGCCTTCCGGATGGCAAGCCGCCCATTACGTGCAGGGACGAGGTCATGGGCGTTATCGGATACGGTGGTCTGGGTGCGTTTTACTCGTTCTCCCTGCCCTGTTTAGGATGCAAGATCCTGGGCTGATCATAATCAACGACCACAGGCAAAAAGATAGCTGCATTGGGCAATGCACTCGGCATGCACGTACTGGTTGCCAGCCGCAAGACACCCGCGACGCCTGCACTCAGTGACATCCTTCCAGCCCCAGATACGTCTGATGGCCGCATTCCTTTTGACGATGTCCTCCGCCAGTCTACTGTGCTCGTCTTGTCGCTGCCCCGAACCGCTGAGACACTCAACCTCATCTCCACACAGGAGCTCGCCAAAATGCATCCATACTCTGTCATCATCAACATAGCGCGGGGTGGCATCGTGCATGAGGCAGCTGTCGTCCAGGCTCTTAAGGAGAAGCGCATCGCTGGCTATGCCACGGATGTCTATCAAGTGGAGCCTGCCGGTGGACCTGAAGATACACCATTACTCGAGGAGGAGACAAAGGATCTGAACATCACCATGAGCCCGCACCTAGCGTGGTTCTCGCAAAGGACCATTAAGAATCTAGGTGACATATTGAAGGAGACGGTAGAGGGGTGGGTAAGTGGCAACGAGATCAATGTTGTTGTATAACAAGCCCAATACCCAAGGGCGAGGAATCATTTCTGGTTTGTCATCTTTGAAGCCGATTAGATTCACATCTCAGCCCAGCCAGCCTAGAGATGGCGGGAACAATAAACTATGGTACCGAGTGTATGGGCATATGCAAGACCCCGCGCTACATGCCTGGGATGATGTTGATGTTGTGGCGTTGAGGCTTGATGGTTGGAGTGTCGTCGGATTGGTGCAGATCACGTGACAGATGATGAAACCCTAGGACCCCTGCTTGGCGGTTGCAAGGCAGCGGCGCATCGCCTCGGGCCATCAACTAACATCACGTCGGCTCTCTCTCTACGCGTCAGAACATCACCAATAACACCCTCCGCCTCTTCGAGCTGTCAATTCTTCCGCGCACTGCCATCCCTCGGTGGGTGTCGCGCGCACCTTTGCGCCCACCCTTTGTATCCCGCAACTGCAAGCCTTCCAGCCGCCGTCGGCTCTGGTTCCCCCGGCGGCAAGCCCGTCCCACAGCCGCCCCACCGACATATTCACCAGCTCCAGCTCCGTCACCACCACCATGTCGGGCTCAGTTGCAGTTGCACGCCCGTCGCAACCTCCACGTTTGCGTCGGGAGTCCCAACGGCCCGGAGTCGCGCGCACCGCCACACGCCAGTCCAACATGGAGGACGACAGCGCGAAGCCAGAAGAGGTCAGGAAATATGGTATGCCCTCCGCCAAAAGCACCGTATGTCTTGCAACAACTAACATGTAGCTCAGTATACACGCAGCAGGATATCCTGGCCAAGCACAAGGGAAAACCACCTTCCCTCCGCGTATACCTGCACCCCAAGCACTTTCGTCTAAATGACTCCCAGGAGACATTGTCCTATGCTTCGCCCATGCGCGAGCTTCTCCAGGCTATCAAGGACAAGGTGGTGCCTCACAACATGGTAGAGGAGCTGTATGAGTTCAACACACCCTGGTACGACAACTGCCTCATTGTCGAAGTGCACGACTACCGCTCGAGCGGTGTGAAACCCAAGGACGATGCCAACAATACTGGAGAAGGGTCTACCAACGCTTTCTCAATCCATAACTATAATAGCTTCATCACTCCATCTCCTTATGCTCCCTTTCCGGTCAACAAGCCTGAACAGAAGCCTACGCAACCCCCGGCTCAGAGCAAAGATGGGGACGCCAAAGAGGACAAAGAGAACATGCCTGCTCCTGGCCAGAACGGTACACCAAACAAGCAGGCAGGACTCGGCAAAGTCAGAACTGTGGTACTCTTCCCAACTCCGCTGTCACACTTGGCCGACATACAGCTACTGGCCACGACGCCTGTTCCAGACATGGCCGCCTTGAAGAGGATGCAGGCTCAAGGCAGAGCTGCGGGTATGCCGCCAACCCCGTTGACCGGTGTACCTTCTACACCGACGTTTCCCAACGGCCCCAGCCCGAAGCGCCAAAAGATGGTCCTTGACGACAGCAATCTCCACGAGTTCGAAGCCGAAGTCTTGAATAATACCTGCCCGCCGCTTTATTTGGAACCCACCAAGAGTTTTGGGGAATCGCTTGCGCTCATGGACGCTATTACGCACCCGAACAACAAGAACCCTGCGCCTCCTCGCAAGACCCGCAAGAGAACGACCGCGGAATTGGCCGCGGACGAAGCCGAAGCGCAGGGTCTACAGCGCTTTATGCTTGCTGGTGACGAATTCCAAAGTGTCATGGCAGCCGCAGCTACTGGAAATGACGATAATGCAGTGCGCGCAGCCGCCAACTCGCAAACGTTTGCACGTTTCAAGACCATTGCCAACATCCGGGCCAATCACGAAGAGAATGATCGACGGAAGAAGGAGGAGGACGCTCGCATTGCTCAGGCTAAACGACAAGCACAAATGGAGGCGGAACTTCAGAGGAAGAGAGAATTGGAAAGCAGACAACAGGCCGAAGTTGCTGAGCGTCAACAAGCAGCCCTTCGGCAGCAAGCACAACACCAGGCGCAGCTCCAGCAGAACCAATTGCAACAGACTCAATTGCAGCAAAACGAAGCCTTACGGGCCGCTGCGGCAGCACAGCACCAAATGGCGAGTGCTGCAGCAGCACAAGTTACACAGACGCCTCAATCAGCAACACAGTCCCAATTTTCGCCAACAATACGCCAACAGACACCCATGACCGCCTCCGCAGCATCCCCACGGGTCGGTGGTCAAGCCTCACATCCTATTGGGGGCACTCCAATGGTGCCATCGGCCTCCAACCAAGCCATCAACAGTCCAGCGCGACCGCCGTCTTCTATCTCTCATCACCAGAACCAAATGGCCCGCTCAATCAGCCAGCAGCAAAATCCAAGCCGCACTGGTACACCCCATATTGTTCAGGGTACGCCAGTCATGAACCCGTCAATGCCAAATCGTAACATGACGCCTACACCGAGTCGCATGAATCAAAACAGCCCGTCTATGGCGATGCAAGGTCAGACACCAATGATGATGCAGACACCCCAGCCTGGTCAGAATATGACACCCGAAGCAATGCAGCAACTTCGCGTGCAACAGATGCGTATGCAGCAGCTACAGCAACAAGGAGGATCTCCGGGTAATCAACAACAACAAATGCAGCAAATGGCATTCCAAAAGGCCCAACAACATATTCAGCAAACTGGTGTCCCTCCCAACCAAAACCCACAGGCCTACCGCCAGCAGCTGGCACAGCACTATTTCCGACAATTGCAACAACAGCACCAAAATCAACAGCAGCAGCAACAGCAAATGGGCATGCAAAACATGTCATCCCAAGGGGCCATGCCGCAAAACGCTATGCCCCAGCAAGGCATGGCCTTTGCTAACATGAGCTTGCAACAGATGCGGCTACGGTACCAGCAACAGAAGGCGACGGTTATGCAAAACTACAGCAACACGCAAAGCATACCCCCACAGATCATGCAGCAGATGCAGCACATGGAGCTACAAATCAAACAGCGGGAACAACGCGAACAGCAACAAGCGCAGATGGCACAAATGCAGAATGGCATGGGCAATCAAATGAACGGGGGCCAAATGGGTGGCATGCAGAATGCCAACCCTGCGAATCCAATGCAAATGCAGCAGTATCAACAACTGCTCCAACAGCAGCGCCAGGCAGCGGCAAATCAGAACCGAATCATGCAAATGCGCCAGCAGGCCATGGCAAATGGTGGCCAGCTACCGCAGGGTATGATGGGCAACATGAATGCTATGGGCGGCATGCAAGGCACGATGCAGGGCATGAATGCCATGGGCAACATGGGAAATGTCCAAGGCATGAACATGGGCCAGATGGGCCAGATGAACGGCGGCATGGGTGGCATGCAAAACGGGCAGATGAACACTGGTATGCAAGGCATGCAGAACATGCAAGGCATGCAAGGCATGAACCAGATGAATCAGATGAATCAGCAGCAGATGCAGCAGATGATGATGATGCGCCAGGCACAGCAACAGGCTCAGCGGATGGGACAACCGGGCGGTCAACAAGGCGGCGATATGGGATGGACCGGTTAACCACTATGAGACTGCTCAAGAGGAGACTTGGTCAACAAGTACCATTGTACCCTGCCCTCGTTTTGTGTTTCAATGTCCTTTGGCGTTTTCTTCCTGGAAACGGAAGACAATCCGAGATCTGAACTGGATACCAATGGGTGTTTTGGGAGCATTTGCTGGGCGAAATGAAAAAAAAGAAGAAAGTTGCTTCAAGATACCCCTGGTCTGGGATGGATTTCCGTTTTATGCCAAATTTTTTGTACTGTTCTCTCGCTAGCGCTTTTGATATGGTGCGGTTTGTTGCTGCGCATTTCATTTAAAAATGTCCATAGTTTTACCTTCTTGTAGCGATTTGTAAGTAGCATCTGAAATGACGTTGTTGAGAAGGAAAGCATTTGTTAGGATGATGTTGATTTATGAGTATATCTTGTTGGGCTCCAGTGACGAATACACTATTCTCTAGGTCTTGGGGAACGTGTCCCGCCAGCCACCAAGTTTCTTCTGTATAGTGACGTATGGCAAGTAGAAAAAACAAAAATAATGTGCATCAACAGTCCCTACTATTTCTCAATCAATGCTGTTCATCACTTTCGACTAAACAGTGGATGCGAAATGTTGGTGTCGTTCATTTTCTTTGACGTTACTACTATCATACAAGCCAATTTTCATCCAGTTTCTAGCATACACTGACATGTACTTTTCAGCAGCTACAGGGCAACTCACGAATATACGATGAAGTCACCCGTGAATGTAAAGTTCTGTGGACTCGTTTCACCCCAATGCTTTGGTTTCGAACACTATTTCTTCGAAGCGGCCTGAGCAAGGTCAGCGAGAGCCTCGCGGCGCTTGAACTTGGCGTCTTGGATCACGCCTAGAGTATGTTAGAACAGAGAGCAGAATTTAACAGAAGGGAACTACATACTGGCATCAGCGTCGCTACTGAAGTTGCCAGACCATGTGACGAATGTCTGTCCCTGGTGCTTGCCAGATGTGACGGGGTATGCGCGGATGGTGGAGACGACCGAAGAGTATGAAAGCTCTGGCTTGGAAGTAATGACGGAGTACGTAATGAAATGGTCAATGGACTAGAATTTTCCAAATTAGCGACTCGTGAAGAAAAAAAAGAAACCACGGAAATGAGAAAAAAATGTACGTACTGAGTGCTCCTCCTGCTTCACCTCGAGCTCTGTGCCGTCCTTGAATGTCCACTTGACAATGTCGGTCTCGTCCGATGTGCCCTTGACGAACTCGCTCTTCTCGAGCTTGGTCCAGAACTTGCTGAAGTCCTGGAGCTTGATCAGGTGCCAAACATCGCTGAAGGGCGCCTCGATGACGGCAGACTCGTGGACGGAGGTGGAGGTGGGGATGGTCGAGGACATGGTGGTTAGATTTTTGCTTGGTTAACAATTGATGTTGCAGAAATCGATTTCAGTGGAGGTGAAAAGAAGAGGCGAGTGGAGTTTAGAGTGGATGGTTGAAAGCAGTCGAAAGAGAAGTTTAGGTGGGGCACCATTGCTTGTTGCAAACCTATAGCGTCATGGCAGAGCTCGCGGCAGAGCTAATGGCAGCTACCCCTCCCCCGCGCCGTTCCTGCTTGGACAGTCTCGCCACCTCAGCCTTGTGCAAGACGATATCGTCGAATCATGCGTCATCAGCTTGTTGTCACTGGTTCCTTTGGTGAGCTACTCTCTTGGCACTCTGGCTCGCCGCCGCTTGTTCTGGCTCCAGCCCAAGGAATCTAATATGTAACACCAATTGATTGCCATGAACCAAGTATGTAAGTAAAGTAATGCTCTAGAACTACTAAAAAAGAAACGATTACCAGACGACGGAATATGGGTTCTCCCAGCTAAGATACTCCCAGCTAAGATACAACCTTGCACATACTGTTGACGATCAAGCGTCCTCTTGACACACTTCCCTTTCTCTTTCTTGTCATTCCTCGTCCTTCTTTATCATTCTAATACCTTGATCACTTAACATCCAACTCGGACAATAGAAGCTACCGACAGACTTGTCAGCCATGCGTGGAGCACACCCTTATTGTAGCCCAGACAGCCAATCATATCCTCTTCCCTGCAGCCACCGCCACATCGGACGAAACTAGCCTCCGGTTTCACCGACCACTCGGACGCGCAATACTCTACTGCCTACCTATAACGTGGTCAGACAACGCTCTAGACACTGGATAGAGGAGCTTGTCATCGATGATCCTTCTCGTTGTTTCTGTATGCTTCCGAGGAAACTAGAAATATAGCATGCGATTGGCTTTTCGATATCGATGGCGTGTAATGTGACTGACTGGACGCTGTGGCGATTGCAGCAAGGGGTGTCGCACATACGTACGCTTGCACGTGCAAAGTGGTGCCTGGAGCCTTTCATTGTGTATAATATGCTTGAAAAGGAAAGCAACATTTCATATCAACCGAACACTCAAGTCTACAACTTCTTGTCAATCCATCATCACAATCTACAAACTATCAATATGCCTTCAGTTGCATACATGAACCAGTCAGCGCCTTTCTGGGACTTCATTGCAAGTCTTGAGCAGCAAGGCGCTCAACAACCTCGCTCTGGCCAGAACCGCGAAGACGGTGCTGAGAACGAGCAAGGGCCTCATGGGCCTCCAGATCCATTTGCCCCTTGGACTTGGGGTCACGGATTCTTTGGTGGGGGTAGAGGAATGCCCCATCGTGGTGGTCCTCCTCCTCACGGTCATCATGAACATCAGCCTGCAGGAGAAAAGGATGCAGAGATGAATGATGCAAACGACAACGGGGAGGGTCCGTCTGGCACCTCCGGCTCTGACAACGAAGCCCGTGACGAAGGCTGTGCAAACAGACGAGAACGCCATGGCCGTTGTGGTGGAGGACCACGCGGCCGCTGTGGACCTGGTGGCAGGGATGGCTTTGGGCCTCGCCACGGTCCTGGACCGCACCATGGATTCGGTTCTCACCATGGCCCTTATCATGGCGGTCGCCGCGGAGGGTGGGGTCCATGGGGACACGGGGGTCCACATGGAGGCGGTCCCTTTGGTTTTGGGGGCAACTCTTTCGACCCATCCACCTTTGTCACTCACCTTTTCAACCAGTTTAACGACTCACGTCCTTCAAACGATGACTCTGGAAACAAGGCCAGATCATCTGGAAACGAAGATCATACTCCTGAAGCTGACATTTTCGATACCGAGTCAGCCTATGTGGTTCACATCTCCCTTCCTGGTGCCAAAAAGGAAGACGTGGGTGTGAACTGGGATGCTGAGAAAAGCGAGCTAAGCGTTGCTGGTGTCATATACCGCCCCGGAACCGAGGAGTTCTTGAAGACACTTGCTGTTGACGAGAGGAAGGTGGGCGCTTTTGAGAGGAAGATTCGTCTAGGAACAAGAGTCAATCCTGCAAGTATTGATGCTGATGGAATCACTGCCAAGTTGGAGGACGGTGTGTTGAGGGTTGAAGTGCCCAAGCTGGACTCGGGCTACGTAGAAATCCGCAAAGTGGACATTGAGTAGTTTTTTCAAGAAGCCGGGTGAAGTAGTGATGGGATAGCATAGTGTAGCGATATGTATGGATGCTCTTTTGCGTTTCAATATGAAGAGTAGGTACTTGTAATCAACATATTTCCTAAATACATAGTGAACATTGTAAAGATTATGTTATTTCGTGACCCATTCTCATTCATTTCGTAAAGAGCGACTTGTTGCCTTACCCACGCCCTTCCTTCATCCATTAACGAAGACTTAGGCCTTCCCAGCAATGAGATCAGCACACATCTCCGCCAACGCATAAATAGTACAAGAAGGCATAGCAGCAATCGGTTCCGGGAGAACACTAGCATCGCAAACCCTCAGTCCCTCGACTCCTCTAACTCTGAACGCATCGTCCAACACCGTTCCCAACGCACATGTACCCATGGGATGGCAAATTGTACCTGCAAATTGCTTTATCCTTTCATCAATCTCCTCATCGCTACTCTTCGTCGTCAACGCGGAGAACTGCGCACCAGCAGGCGGAACCTCGCCCTCGACCTCCGCAGCCAACGGCCCCGTCTCCACCAGGCGCAAGTTCTCACGCACAGCGCGACGCAGAATAAACCGATCAGTGGTAGTAGCGAGGAAACGCGGATCGCACACAGGTTTATCGTTGGGATCCGCCGAGTTGAGGGTCACGCTACCGCGAGACATGGGAAGCATATGGAATGCACAAAGCGAAATATGAGCGCCATCTTCCTTGACCGTGGGGAAAATGGTCGGGTCAACAATAAAAGGGTAGTAAACCGCCAAACTGAGGTAGTGGTACCGGTTTGGCCTCAGTAGAAGGTTCTCTTGTTGCGGTTCATCAATGCGGATGCCATCGTCCTTGAGGTGCGGAGAAAGCTCTGTGTCGGGAATATTCGCGAACAAACAAAAGTCAAAGGGGAGACCCTGGCCATATGCTGGTTCTGTATACCCGTTGAAGGGGCGGGCATAGCCTTTTGAGGCGTCTTTGAGCTTAAAGTACATCGTCATGGCGTTGTGGTCGCAGAGGTTCTGACCTACGGCGGGTGAATTGACGGTTTGGGGGATGTTGTGTTTGGCCAGTTCGTCGGCGGGTCCAATGCCAGATAGCATCAAAATCTTTGGTGAGACCTGGGTTCCGCATGAAATTATGACTTCTTTTGTAGCCATGATGCGTTTGCCGGAGGTAAGTTCCACTCCAATCGCTCGCTTTGAGTCGTCGAGAAGAATGCGAGCTACGGATGTATCGCAAAAGACTTCGACGCCGCTTAGGTCGTATACTTTGGCACTGTGTTGCCGTGTTGCAGTAGACTCGGAAGTAGCACGCCAGCACTGCGTGATATCCCCCAGACCTGTTGGGTCTCCCCTGGTTGGATTGTACTTGTGGCCCAGGTTCTCTGCACTCTCCTGGATAAGGTTCCGGATTGGATACTTTCTTCCACCTACAGTATGAATCTTGCCCTCAAAGCCATACCGATCTTTATCGGCTGTCGCATCGAAATGCGTCTCTATGCGCTTGTAGTACTTTTTCATATTGCCATATGTGAATCTTGCATTTCCCGCTCTTTCAGCCATGACGTCCAGATCAGCAGCAGAGGCACGCATCCACAACCCAATGTTGACACCACTTGCTCCTGACAGCAAACGACCCGCAACATTCATGATGTTCCTGCCACCCAGATGTTCTTGTGGTGTGGTTGAGTAGTCTATGAGGAAACCTTTCTGGAATAGCGGCATCCAGTTGAGTGGGTCCGCGACATTGTCGATAGCGGGATCGTCTACTGCGTTTGGACCTGCTTCGAGTAATGCGATGCTAGAGTTGGGTAGGTATTCTTTTAGACGAGAAGCAATCACGACACCAGCAGTGCCTCCGCCTGCAATGACGTAGTTGAATGAGGACTCCATTGTGACTATGGGATCAGGAATGACTGAATCCAAGCATGGTGGGGTGGGCCACCAACATAGGGCTACTTATACGCCTTTTAGAGTGAGTTCTTGTATATTGATTCGACTAATTTTGAACATTTTACGCTGATGCGCGGGTGAGATTTAGGCGTTTGAGGCTTTGTTGGGCGCTTACATGAGATTGTCTTGAGCAGTTTTTTCTCCTAAATCGGCAGCACAAGGCATATTGGTCTTCCAATAGATTCTATGGGGCGTATTCTGATTGCAGTTGCCTCGGTTAAATAAGGAAAGGCGATTCGTCGGGTAAACAAGAACGAAAGATATCGATGCAAAATTGGTGATCGAACTAGGTTAGGTAGAATATGTTGTAAGATTTCCACGCCCGTCTTCGTCAAAACGACAAGCATCTGATCGGTGTTACCCCAGAATCTTGTCATGCAATATCTGAAGTATAAGCGCGGTTCATTGTGATAATCGCGTATGAGGTCTGTACTCAACAGTAACAGTAATGAACATTGCCTTTCTTACTACCTTGGTTCGCTCTAACTGATTTGGAGGCCCACATGCATGAAAACTCAACTAGTCAATATCGAGCAAGCACCTTTGGCGAGATGGGGGCAGGATAGTCTCACCCGCTTCGACATGCATCTTCATTCAGATATATCCCAGGAATTGTGAACTGACAAACTTCCTTTGCTCCCTTGTTTACTTTTGGACTGGGTCGTCGATGGGGTAGAGAGGATCTAACTTTTTCGAACATGAGTTTGCAGCCAACGGTGTACTTCGAGGGGAAGATGTTTGTTGTTGCATCCTTGAGATTGTTCTAGCAGGTGGTTGATAGGTATTTTCCGAGTAAATGTGCCCGATCAGGGCTAGAGTATCGCTTTTGTTATTCTATAAGCTCATATGGCAGGTACATGCTGAGACTGGTAGTGGCCCGTAGTTGGACTACACTGAATCTGGTATAGAGTATTCCCGACGAGAATCCTTGAGCGTACTTCGGTAGTACACATGCTCCCAATGTAGCGATACGTTAGTAGATGAAGGGATTCCCGTTGGTGAACATGGAGCTTGTGACGCTCCATTCACTCCATCAAACGGGTCTCACCTTCCTAATTACGTCAACACTATCCCTAAAGCTACTTTATCCCACCTCTCGCACTTCACTATTTGAAAGCTACCACCTCACACTCAACTACTACGATGTCTGCAACTCGGAAGTTCCCTACAGTTGAAATTGAAGCAAAGGACGACATGGCGAACGACCGTACTACCAACAGCGTTCACGCAAACAATACATCTGTGCCTGCACCACCCAGGCTGGTCACTCCCTCTGGTGCCGACCTGACCTTGTCAGACTTGAACGTCGGGAGCAACACCCCCCACCTTTCTTCTCCCATCCACACACCCTCAACGCCCGGCCATTTCATCAACCAAGAGCCAAACCCGACGTCCTTCTCCTGCTCTCCAACTCTCGTTTCCTCCATCTTCCCGACCGAGCTACCTCTCCGTACCCCACCTCGCCCTTCGCTCATCAGCCGTGTATTCAGCCTATCACCGCCGTCTGTGCATGCAGCTCGCGCTGGAAATCGTGAACCTCGTACTTTTCATACACCAGACATTGAGATGGGTGGACGGGAGCGCTTGACTCACGTCTTGCAGCAAGATGAGAGGGCCAAGAATATCGAGAAGATTGAGAAGGTCAAGCTGGCGTTGCTGCTAGTGGGTGGGACGACGCTTTGTTTAGCGATGGGTATAATGGTGTATTTGGTTGTGAAGTTTGCTGCGGAGGATGACAGGCATTAGTGCGTGGGGGAAGATGCAGGGATGCATGATTGGTATCTGGGAGTTTCCAGGAACAACAGCACAGAGGAACCGAATTTGTTTCCTCCTGTCTCTGCAGGGCGTGGGGAGTCAGCTAATGCAGTCCGTCTGATTGATCAGTTCCTCGTCTCACACGGACATGGTGATTTATAAAATGAAATCAATGCGTCGACTCTCAGAAATCAAATGATCATAGTATGTGTGGGGACATGAAAAAATTACTCCATTTGGGAAAGCATTTGAGTATGGGCAGAAGACATATGATGTCAACAACGCCCCACAGCCAGATTCTACGGGTATATCGAGCAAGATTTCTTCACGTTAACCATAACTGCATTTTTTTGTATCTGCATTAGCGATTATAATTAGGTATTACGATAAATCACTAAATCATCGCCTTCGCTGAGGCCCAGACAGAATGCATCCATCCGCACAAGCCGGGTCGGTGCTGTTGTACGCAATCTCGCCCACACTCGCACCAGGCTCTACACTAGGATCCCTTGGGATCGAAAACATGCGTCCATCCTCTGGTGCGACAACAGTCTCAAGGATATCGCCAAAAGCATTCAGAACGTTGGCGATAGGCTGGCCCTTTGAAACAGGCTCGTCAACGCTAACGAGCGTCTCGACGAAACCACCGTACTGCGTGTACGTATCGTGGAAGGTGGTAATGACATAAGTCTTGCTTAGATCGGGCTCGACAGTCGTGTTGGAGGGAGTGATTTTCAAATCGACCATGACGCGGTTTACGTAGTCGACTACACGGTTGACGAGGGTAGTGTTCCAGACTCTGGCCTGGCCCATTTCGACGGTGAGAGAGGGGATGCCATAGTCAACAAAAGTAGTCTCGATGGAGCCGGGCTCGCCGACATCGATCTTCAGCGTGTCGGGCTGGAGGAGCTTGGCGAGGCGCTCGACATAGGGAAGGCGGAAGTCCGCATAGCACCATAGAGAGGTGTCCGCGCCTGTGCTGGGAGTGTCTAGTCCAAGATTGTTAGTTGGAAATTCTGGACATGAATTTGAGAATAGAGAACGTACGGAGATCGATACCAACATCGACGTTGCTCGTGTTGGCCCAGATCTGGTTCCAGATGTTGTAGGCAAGGATGTTCGGTCCACTGCCCCCTTCCGCAGGTGCAATGCCAGGGAAAATGCGGTTCACGTTAATGAGAGATCCGCTTCCAGCAGCAGTGTAGTAGTTGCGCTGCCTCATGTAGATTCCCATGGGGTTGATGGTCGGGATACCAATGACTAGATCCAGATTAGCCCCAGATTTCAATATGACGACTGGAACATCATACCAGTGCCATTAAGTGTTGCAACTTGGTCCTGGAGCTGCTCGAAGACGCGCTGAACCACGCGAACCGGGTTCAGCTCGTCACCGTGAATGGTACCCGAAAGCGACAGCTTCTTGCCCGTGTGCAGACTCTCCTCTGTTCCACGCGCAACCATGATGGGTATGTAAACCGGGTGTCCGCCATTGAGCTCGCCCGCGCGCATATAGTATTTGGAGACTGTCTGGGGAGGTACGTCCGCCAGGTTAAGGCCCTGGATAACAGGAACGCCATTCACAACATCGCTGGTGAAATTGAGCGCATGTGAGCTGCCGACGAGAGCCGCCGTGGTCGCAATTGCCGAGAGAAGCTGCATTTTCGCGTGGTAGAGCTGGCTGAGGCTACGATGGCCATGCTAGAGCTTACCAACGTCCATTTTATACGTCTACCATGGCCCGATAAGACTTCAACCGTCTTGCTCCAACTGTCCATCCTAATAGAACTGTTTGTCGCAAACAGGAAGGTCGGCATGGGTGTTGTCCACTCAGTGACGGTGCCCAGCCTGACCGACTCTTGGCATCTCGTACGTAGTTGACCCGAGTCTCGGGTACGAGCGGTAGATACAGGTCGTCATGGCCACAGAGTCAACTGATTCAGGACAGGATAACCGTGAGTAGAACATCGGCATTGTGTTTACATGTATTCGAGTAACCATTGACTTGGGATCGGCGGATCGTTTCGGCTGTCCCGGTGCGGTGGGACGGAAGTTCGCACGAGTCATGACAACTCGGTAGGAACAGATAAGACTGTACTTGGGGTCTTGTGCTTACCCTGCCGCTTTTGTGAACTATTGAAAAACATTTATTGTTGAGTAGAAACATACTTTGGCTTCGGTTTGTTCGTTCAACAAGATTCAATTGCTGTCTCGCCATGGACGCTACGTACGCTCACTTTGTGTCGAAATAACATCAGAAGGTACATGCTTCATACAAGAGCAGAGTCCGAGGGCCTCACTACTAGCGACGAAGGCTACGTGCTGTTTGTGGCACAGCAAATTTTGGCGATCAATAAGGAGTACCCTTGACTCTTGAGCAACGTCAGCAGTGCGCAGAGCTGTCAGGCAACTGCCTTCATCCGTCCTCAATACCCCTGGAGATTTATTTCTCTCAGAAAATGACGGCGGTAATACAGAGGGTGATGGCGATGACGAACACGAGCACGAGGAAATGATGGGCGTGAGGTTGCTAGATGACACTGCTACAACTCTAAAAGGGTAATGGAGGCACTTCACACGCCACAAGGCCAATTGAACAGCAAACTTTAGCCTGCAAACAAGCTCTCTACATACCAGACCGGCCTCTTCCCTTGTATAGCAGACACATCAGCGGTAGAGCAGCAATGACTGGAAGTGCATAACGACGAACTCCAGAAACAATTACTCGGGGAGGGGCAGTCTGGAAATGATTGATAAACTAACCATACAAAACTTCCTACTACAAAAGAGAAACTATTGTCGAGCGTACCCTTGGTCTTGGTGATCGAGAGCCCTCACTCCGACACACTGCAATAAAAGATACGGCTGATTCTCGACTGGCCAGAGTGACCGCAGTCTGACTGATCAATACTTAGCTCCAACTTTGTTCTCCATCTTGGTCGGTGTCGTCTGCGCCTGCGTCGAGCAGCATCTCCACTACCATCTCGGTTTGAGGGTTTCTATATGTATCAGGTCTATTATTTTTAGCAGCTTGAAGTGCGTTCCCATAGTATCCGCCCTGGCCATTGACGTCTGCGCCTGCGTTAAGTAGCATCTTCCCTATTTCTTCATTACCACTACGAGAAGCAGCTTGAAGCGCGTTCCCATACTCTCCACCCTGGGCATTGACGTCCGCGCCTGCGTCAAGCAGC